GAAAAATATAGGCAATAGACAATCCCACTTTACCAACAGCCTAAAAGAAAAAGGGGTAAAATCCCACAAATAATCTTGCCACCATGACCAAATCAAAAACAAACAAGAATGAACAACCAATGGTCTTTAATATCCATCAACATTAAAGGTCTGAACTCTCTATAAAAAGACACAGATTAGCAGAATGGATAAGAAGACATAATCCTTTCTTCTGCTGCATATAAGAACACCACAATTTCAAAATCAGATGGTACCTAAGAATTAAAGGTTGGGAAAAGATTTTCCACAGGCAGGGGTAGCAATCCTAATATCCAAGAAATTGGACTTTAAACTAAAATCAAACAAAAGAGATGAAGAAGGTCAATTCCTACTCATCACAGGAGAAATCCATCAGGGTGAACTCTCAATTCTGAACATCTATGTCCCAAATACAAAGGCATCCACATTTGTAAAAGAAACATTACTAAAACTCAAATCACACATAAAACCACACACACTTATAGTGGGAGACTTCAATACCCCACTCTCACCACTGGACAGGAACACAAGACAGAAACATAACAAAGAAACAAAAGAACTAATAGAAGTTATGGCACAATTGGACTTAACAGTTATCTATAGAACATTCCATCCAAATAAAAAAAATTTACCTTCTCAGCGCCACATGGAACCATCTCTAAAATCGACCACATATTTGGCAACATAGCATACCTCAAAGGTACAAAAAAATTGAAATAACCCCTTGTATCTTATCAGACCACCATGCTTTAAGATTAGAATTCAACAACAACAAGAACTACAGAAAACCTACAAACACATGGAAATTAAGTAACACCCTATTGCACAATTTATGGGTCCAGGAAGAAATAAAAAAAGGAATTAAAGATTTCCTAAAATTCAATGAGAATGCAGATACAACATATCCAAACCTACGGGATACTTTGAAAGCAGTGCTAAGAGGAAAGTTCATAGCGCTAAATGCCCACATGAAGAAACAGGAGAATAATCACACTAGAGAATTAACAGCACAACTGAAAGCTTTAGAAAAAACAGGAGCCAATACACCCCTGAGGAGCAGACACCAGAAAATAATGAAATTGAGGGCTGAAATCAATAAAATGGAAACTAGGAGAACAATACAAAGAACCAATATAACAAAGAGTTGGTTCCTCGAGAAAATCAACAAGATAGACAAACCTTTATCTAAACTTACCAAACAACAAAGAGTGAACATGCAAATTAATAAAATCAGGAATGAAAAGGGGGACATAACAACAGACACAGAGGAAATCCAGAGAATCATCAGGTCATACTTCGAAAACCTATATTCCTCAAAATTCGAAAATCTAAAGGAAATGGACAATTTTCTGGACAGATTTCACTTACCAAAATTAAATCAAGAACAGATAAGCAACTTAAATAAACCTATAACCCCTAATGAAATTGAAGCAGTAATCAAAAGTCTCCCAACCAAAAAAAGCTCAGGGCCAGATGGCTTCAGTGCAGAATTCTTCCAGAAATTCAAGGAACAGCTAATACCAATTCTCCTCAAAGTATTCCACACAATAGAAGCAGAAGGGTCATTACCAAACTCTTTTTATGAGGCCACAATAACCTTGATACCCAAGCCACACAAAGACACAGCTAAGAAAGAGAACTACAGACCAATATTCCTAATGAATATTGATGCAAAAATTCTCAATAAAATACTGGCAAATCGAATCCAAGAACACATCAGAGAAATCATCCATCACAATCAAGTAGGCTTCAAAGAACCAGCCATTATCAGAGGTCAGGATACTTCTGAGTGATATGTGGGTAGGCAGTACTAGGAAGAAATTTGTATGTGTTCTCCCTTACTTTCTCAAACAAATATATCCCTTAGATACATGGCATTGGCTTTAGATGAGAAGCCCTGAGATAAGACATTTATGGACTTGAAAACTGTTACTTCTTCAGTATCTGTGGATTTACAACATGATAATATAAAATAATTTTATACAGAAAATGTACTAGGAAGATATTACAATAAATATCACTTTAGAACAGAAGGAAGTCATTAAGTTATGTAAAGTGAGTTTCCAGTTTTGTTTAGAAAACATATGACTAGAAAATGTCATTATGAGAATCTATCATTCACCATAGAAAAGTGCATTTCAATTTATTACAATCTATTGTGCTTTTCTCCTAAATATTGGATTATAATGAACTATAGCAGCTTTCCATATTTCTATCTACTCTCTGTTTTTAGCTACTGATAGGGCTATAGCAAGGCTATATTTTGAGGATATGTAGAATTTTGAAGTGGTTAGTCTTTTGCTCTAAAAAAAATGCTTTTATAATCTCAACACTAAATCAGATCAGGAGATTTAAGCTGTCTTTAGATTTGGTAATGGGTTTTGTTTTCATTAGTTTCCAGTCTTAATGTAGTTTACCTAACCATTTGTCCACTCATTCTTTTATGAAAATATTCCCTACAATATACCTTATGTGTCAGACTCAACAAATTATCTCAAAAAGAGCTACCACAGTCACTTAGAATTCAGTTACTGCTTAAGATTATAGACATCTTCCCCATCCACCCACCACTCCCCAGGCAGGGTAGGGCCCTCAACAGGGGCTCTGCAAAGTCCACCAAATCTCCCTGTGCTGGGCCTGGGCCCTTCCCCATGTGTCCAGGGCCAGAGTGTATCCCTTCACATGGGATGGGCTCTCAAAGTCCCTTCTTACACCAGGGAAAAATACTAATCCACTACCAGAGGTTCCTTGGAGTGCAGAGGCCTCCTTATTGACATCCATGTTCAGGGGTCTGGATCAGTCTTGTGCTGGCCTCCCAGACAGCACATGGAGTCGATGTGCTCCCCCTTGTTCAAGCCAACTGTTTCTGTGGGTGTCTCCAACCTGGTACAGACCCCTTCAATCTTCTTTCCTCCCTCTCTACAACTAAATTCCAGATTTCAGCTCAGTGTATATCTGTGGATGTCTGTCTCTGCTTCCATCAGCCACTGGATGAGGGCTCTAGGATGGCATAAAGAGTAGCCATCAATCTCATTTTAGGGGAATGGCTTTTAGGTTATCCTCTCAACCATTGCCTGGATTATCAGATCGTGTCATCCTTGTAAGTCTCTGGAGATCTCTCTAGTTCCAGATCTCTTCTTGGACCTATAGTGGCTCCCTCTAATATGGTATCTCTCATCCTGCTCTCTCTCCTCTATTCTTCCCCTGCCTCAATATTTCTGCTCCTCCATTTCCTCTCCTCTACGCCTCCTCTCCTGCTCTTATTATGGCAGGGCCCCCTCCCCTCCCCCCATGTTTCCCATTAGCTCAGGGGGTCATGCCACTTCCCATTCCTGGGGTCCATTTATCCCTTAGAGTCCTTCATGTTTCCTAGTTTCTTTGATGAAGAGGATTATAGGCTCGTAATCCTTTGCCCTATGCCTAAATTTCATATATGAGTGAGTACATACCATGTTTGTCTTTTTGTGACTGGGTTACCTCGCTCAGAATGGTTTCTTCTAGTTCCATCCATTTACCTGCGAATTTCAAGATTCCATTGCTTTTTCTGCTGAGTAGTACTCCATTGTGTAAATGTACCACATTTTCTCTATCCATTCTTCAGTTGAGGGGCATCTAGGTTGCTTCCAGGTTCTGGCTATTACAAACAATGCTGCTATGAACATGGTTGAACATATGTCCTTGTTGTATGAACATGCACTATTTGGGTATATACCCAAGAGAGGAATGGCTGGATCTTGAGGTAGACTGATTCCCATTTTTCTGAGCAACCACCATACTGATTTCCAGAATGGTCTTACAAGTTCGCACTCCCACCAGCAATGGAGGAGTGTTCCTTTTTCTCCACATCCTCTCCAGCATAGATTATAGACATCTTCTTACAGGAGAACCTGCTATCAATGAGCTTTTTATGCCACAAAATTTTCTCATGAAAGTAATTTGGTCATTAGTTTATTTTTATTCATTTAAATTGATACATATATTTTATTTCAAATTTGTCTATAATTTAAATAAGGTTCAATTTAACTTTGACACTTATAAAATAATTATAATTACTATAGTTAATTAAAGTATTTTAAACTTGATATGATAAAATGTAATCCATTTAAAACACATATTTTCACAAGATCAATTAGCATAAGTCTATATCTAATTGAATTAACATTAACAGGCTTGAATTCCGTTGTGTACAGGCCTTAAAATGATTCAGAAAGTTGTTTGTTACAACCATGATATTCATGTCAGTATTTCCTTAGCTTTATGTGACAAAATTTTCTTCATATAAAAACTGAATGCTCCCTATAGATGAATATTGGTTCCTGGAAGAATGAAGAAAAGCAAAACAATAACATCTCAGTATAATGTTCAATAAAAAAATTTTCACTTTTATGGATTTATTGTTCCAGAGGAGTAAAACAAAAATGGAATGTAGTGTGTGATAGAAAACTACAGGCAAACCTGCAACGTATTTCTAAATGTAAATTACAAATTCTGAGCAGTGTTCTCTCTGGTCTGTGTGTTCTGCATTATAAAGTAAAAAACACCCATAGCATAACTGGAGTAAAACATAATCAAAGCTCAGAGATCATTCTAATATCATTTGACTTGAAGATCTTCTGTAATTCCTCACTTTTAATTCAAATGAGGCCTATTTTCTAGATTTGAATTAATTTTATGTGTATTCAGCACATAATAAAATAATACAGTATTATTTTACTGTATCTCACATGCATACATATTCACCTATACTTTTTATTGTGTAAAATCACTATATATATATATATATATATATATATCCAAATAAAACTGTAATATGTTTATATAGCATTTATCCTAAACATGACTATATCCTAAACATGTTTATCCTAAACATGGCTATAAACAAAGTAACATAAGATAAACAAACTTGAAAATATAATTTTCTAATGAACAAAATTTCTTAACAAGGCAACTTGTTGATGATTAAGAATTGTTGACAAAATATATCAGGGGACAAAGGGGTCTACATCTTTGGACTCGCACCTCAACCACCACAACACCAAAAGAGAGGCCTGTCTGAGCTTACTATTTTTCAGAATCAACACACATGGATGGACTGAAGGAAATGTAATTATAATGGCAGCAAAAAACATAATGTTTTTTGCTAGGAGCTGAAATACCCAAACTTGTGTGGCAAGAGCCAGAAAGAAACCTGTGTAGAAGAGAAGAAAGGTCACCACCATTTGCAAGGCGTTTATGTGTGCCATGGTTCTGGGGTCTCTGGAGCCTTTGACATTGTACTGCATGGTCTTCAGATGTGTCCATAAGGAGAAGATGAGCAGGGTAAAAATAATCAGGGACACAGTGAATGGGATGAGTGTGAACATCGTGTTGATTAAAAATATAAGTCTGTGAAATTGTGTGCAATTCCTTAATGTGAAACCATAAGAGAGACTTCTTTTGGATGCACCAGTCCAAAGATCAATGTGTATGTTCATCCCTAAAATATTTACAAACAAGAAGACAAGAGACAGTAGCAATGTCACTGAAACCACCTTTTCAAGTCTCCACTTTAGGTAGAGAAAAATAGAGTTAGAAAAAGTGGCTATCTTGAGAAAATAAAAGATGCTGAGGACGGTGGCCAGCCAGATGCTAAAATGATTTGCAACTATCCAGGTACTGTTTTTTATTCTTAACATTTTCACACTCACTTCTAAATCTGGATAGAGTGAAGATACTAGTGTAATAATAAATACAGACCACAACATATTTATTCTGGAAATTGCCAAAGCAGTGAGAATCTTATCCACTGTAGAGATCTTTCTTTTCTTGACCCAGTCTATGATGTTCACCAGTGCTATGAATCCATTTGCGGCACTCCCAATTATGAATTCCACAATGATGGTAGCTGCGCATATGATCCGTATGGCAATATCCATAGTCCATAAAAGAATCTCCTGATTTCCGTAGTCACTGATGAATATTTGTTAGTCTGTTCATTTTAAATATTTTTAAAGAAATTCATAATATATTTCTAATATTCCCAATACAACAAGTAAGAAAGCAAGATGTAACAAAAGTACGACATTGTAGTTGTATTTATGGAAGTATGTTTTTTGACATGGTCCCACTGAGTTTTATCCAGATTCCGTGGGTCCTAGGGTAGCTTGGAGTCAACTGTTATTGATGATGAAATGCTGAAATCTCAGATGATGAAATATAAATAAGGGCATGTTGATTTGCATTGGTTTTCTCATTTTTCTTTCTTTACATATTTTAATTGATAATTTGAGTTATAGGCAAGAAATATTCAAAACATCCTAAGGCCTGTAGAAAGCAACAAGACAGTCAAGGTATGAGAGTTCTTGAACACTGAAGATATTTTCAATAGTTCAGATTAAGACTCTATGGGCTTATCACCAAAGCTCTTCTACAAATTGTTACTTATCTAATAACTTCTTGTTGAACATTATTGCTTGAGTATATAATATTAAAAATAGAAGTTTATGACTTACAACAGAAAACATCTATACATCTTCATATATATCCATACACTTACTTGAGATCTAAATAATGTCTGCTTCACCTTAGATGGATAGGCCAGCTTATATTTGTATCCCAGCTCTCTCTTAAGGAGTTTACTATTCTTATTTATTGTTTAAGTAGCACAGACTTGCTAGTATATCTAATAATCTTCTTACTAATCACATCTGAATTGCATCCCTGTCTCCTCTCAACCAAAGACTAAGCCTCAGCATGTTTTCAGATCCCTATAATACATTCAAATACTGTAGGTGCTCTGTAAAAGTTTTATTTTTATTGGTAGCTGTCCTTATGTATTTGACATTACTCTTTTCCTTTTAGATTTCTATCTTCATATTAATGTGTTGGAAAACTAACAAAATTCCAAGGGGCTCAAACAATAGAAATTAACTTTCTCAAAGTTTTGAAGGATAGAAATTCAAGGTCAAGATCCAACAGGTTGGTTTTCTGGTGAGGCATCTGTCACTGGTGTGTTGTCAGATGGCCTTATCAGGCAGCATTTCCTCTGTGCTTATGTGGTCTTCCACAAAACATGCCATTTGAATTTAATTCCAATTATATTTAAGCCCCTATTAGACTAGAGGCCTCCTCCTGACAATTTTAACTACATGTCCTTCTCTCTAACTCAATCAACATGTGAGAGAGAATCAATTGCATGTTTTGTTTGTTTGGTTTTGGTTTACATTGTTTTGCATGGGGTTCAAAAAATTTACTCCATGACAGAAGTTATGAAATACAACCCTTAACAACACTTACAATGAATTGGAGGGAGTGGAAAGTAGCACTAGTATCTTTTGACAATTATATTAATTGATGCAAATTTTGGTCATATATTTAGCCAAGAATTCAGAATTGTAAATATCCTCCCTTCCTCCTCAGAATTATGACTCCACTGTCTTATGGAATATAATTTGATAGTATTTACCCTACCCTTTCAACAGTTGATTTCTGACATATGTCTTTTATGCTTCAGCGTGCCTATGACAGCTGCAGTTTCAATGCAATGTATGCAAATGTAAATGCATTATGAAGTTTCAGTTAAACCAAATATAGACTGTGGAAACCATAATAGTAGGTTATTTTCACTGTTGTTAATATTATTGTTTTTATCTTGGTTTATTTTTCTATTTCTGTGATAAAAAAAAAACAGTCTGAAAAAGAAAATTAAAGAAAAAGGGTATATTTTTGATCCACAGTTCTACTGTAGAGAAATCAGGGCAGCAGAACCTTGAAGCAGTCACATCAAATCCACAGTCAGGAAGTGGGAGGGGGCGGGAGGGGGAACAAGAATGTTCACTTGTTTTCGGCTTCCCTTCTCAGTATATGTACTTACAGCCCAAGGTCCTAGGCAGGGATCCAGATTGGGCCAGTCTTCCCTCAATCCATAGCTCATGATCACCCCCTATAGACATTTAAATAATGTTTCAGATGGGCCCTAAGCTTGTCTCCTGGTGATTCTACATTCTGTTAAGCTGCCAATCATCACTAACCATCGCGCACTTTATCTTGTCTTTTGTTACATTTTTGTTACAGGTTCTTGTATGTTAGAATCAACAGAGGCACGGGAAAAGAAACAGTGCTTAACATGCCATATGACCTTGTATCATCATTTTAATTTGTTGGCAGAGAAATTAATGTAAAATCATCTCAGAAATTATAGTTCATATTCAGTACTTTAGGCATGTTTTGCCACAAACATAAAAAAGTCTTTCTGTAGAGATAACTTTACAAACTTTATCCCTAAGCTAGAAATAGTATTATCCTTTCTTCTGAAACACTAGCATGCTCTCAATTCACAAACTGCAACACCAGCTTACACCAATTACTTAGCATTTTGAATGTTCTAAACACTAATTGTATCAATCAGCATCAAAACCCACAAATAATTGGCAGGAAGATGTAACAGTCATATTAGGTGCAGATTATATGAGACTTTATCTTCAAAAGAAAAGGGAATGAGTTTAAAACACAAAGTAGATGAAATAGTTTGACAAGGCAATTTACTTAAATATCATCAAACTAACAAAAGCAACAGCTGTGATGTGCAAATGAAATTTAAAATATCAGAAAAAGAAAATATGTAAACTATGATTTATGACACAAATTTTAATGAAAAACACTGAGTTAAACATTTATTTTATCATAATGTTAGATTTTAGTTCTCATGAAATTTGCTGTTTGCTCCTTTTGCGTCTTTTACTTTTATATGCTTACATAACCAAGGAAGACTTTAGAAAAACTATGTGCTATGAAAACACTTTGTAATCAGTGACTAAACTCTGTGAGGAAATGGTTTCCTGCGTTAATAAAGCCTGTGAGTGGTGCAGGTTGTCAGAGGAGGTCAAGCAATATCGAAATGTGCTTCCTTTCCTTTCTTTTCTCAGAAATTGAAACTCACAAGTGTCCTGTGTTTAATTTCTCAATCACCACACTTGAATCCACCACTTCCGATCCTGCCCTCATCCAGAGCTGGCTTCAAGACACTCAAATTGCATATTCTGTCATTGTTTTTCCAACAGATTTCATGTGTCTCTATGCATGGTTTTCTTCTTGACATTTCATGTAAACTTGAGGAAAATCTCACTCTGCCGATGGCTAATTGCACAGGCTACTATCATCTTCACACACAACAAAGTAAGCTTTTTAAAACATCAGGCTGGGTGGTGGTGGCGCACACCTTTAATCCCAGCACTCGGGAGAGAGAGGCAGGTGGATATCTGTGACTTCGAGACCAGCCTGGTCTACAAGAGCTATTTCCAGGACAGCCTCCAAAGCCACACAGAAACCCTGTCTCGAAAAAAAATAAAAAATAAAATAAATCAGAACTTCAGCCTCTTCAACTGAGAAACATCACAGGCAAATATTTGTGAGTACTAGTCACTCTATATAAATTAACTTGCCAATGATGTTTTACAATTTCTCTTTCACTATGTTACATATCTACATTTTAGTTTAGAGTTCCCACCCAGATATTAATGTTTCAAAAATTAGTAAAGATCTATGAGGGTGGGGTTAAATGAAGGAGATAGAGAATGTGCTTGTATAAAGGATGAAAGGGAAATACTGATACAAGAAGGGTTAAATGGGGATGTAAAGGAATACAGGAAAAGTTAACTAACACTAAATACATTTGAGAAAAAAAGTCATATGGAAACCTGTAAGTGTAGAAGCTTCCTAAATGCATATGCACACATAATATATGAGTCTAGACTCTTTCATAATAGAGCACCAATGACATCTAGACAACAGTCAATGACAAATATAATGCCCAGTACCAGGAACAAACTGCCACTGTTGGAGTTGTTAGCAAGTGAGGTTCCATAAGATTCCTTCCCTCAGTATTAAAGGCTTATGATAATACTCTTGCTTATACTCCAAAACTTGATGGTAAGCCCTATTGATAAAGGTACAATATACTTGAGTCATCAAACAGGAACATATCAAGATGATACTGAGCTGGAAACTCATCCTTCCTGGCTAACATTCATAGTGCTAGCAGGTACTACAGAAGGAGAAAAGGAATGACCAGTCAGATCCAGCTATAAATCTTGTGAGTTATAACAATGACTCCCCTATTGAAACAGGCCCACTGGTGCAACAGTGGTACAGATATCTGAGAGCAACCAACCACTTTATAATTGGAAATAAGGCCTCTCTACAAGTTGGAAAAATGAGCAGATGCAGAAATGGATGTGTCGGGAAGGGAAAGATGGATCTTGAGGTATGGGGCAGGGGGATGAGTGAAACACTGTAAGATATTATCACAAATCTAATAAAAGTGAGAAGAAAAAAGCAAACTCAACATAGTGTTTTGTTTTGATGAAAAGATGAATAATTGAGGCTCTCAAGAAGAATTACACCAAATAAGGTATGATTTAATGGACTTCTTTAAAAAAATAGTTTAAACAACCAGTTCTTAATTTCAGAAAGAAAGAAAGAATGAAAGAAGGAAGGAAGGAAGGAAGGAAGGAAGGAAGGAAGGAAGGAAGGAAAAGAATACCTCTTGCTGAAGAGTTAGCAACTTTGAAGTAAAGACAGGAAAAAGGAGCATTTCCTTTCTCACCCCTATTCATTTAATTTATTTGAAATTTATGTGTATTTTATTCATCTTTTTAACTCTAATTTTCTCATGCAAACAATGCCAATAATATATCCATTCAGGGAAAGTTAATGGTATGTATTGATCACTCAAATTGTGTACAATTCTTTTTATTGTCATAATGTTACTTTTCCCAACCTATTAAAATATAGGCACATAGTGACATAAAATATAACAAAATTATCTACTTCAATTACAAAACTACTATCAGAAAAGATTTAGGGTCTTATGCATCAAAATTTAAAGCAGTGTGCTGCATATTTAAAAATTAAATCAGGAAGACAGTGAATTTCTGAA